TTGAAAAGAATAAAAGAATATATTCTCATCTGATCCCAAAGAAACTAGACAACAGTCCCTAGATGACTTCAGAAGAGAATAAATGAGTTAGGTTTTGATTTAAGTCTCTACGACAGGATCTTGCATCTTACCCATTTTGGGTGGCATAATGACAGAACCCAAAGAGTTGGACAGTGGAGGGAACATGTACCTGGCTTTCTATATGGAAGTTAGCAAAACCTGTAGAAATTTACATGCTTGCAGAAAAGAGATAGAAAAGAAATAGCTATGTGTGGTTGGTGAGGCAATTGGGACTGAGCCAGACAAATGGAATTCTGATGTAACTCAGAATCATATACAAAGTAACTAAAAAGTGCTTGTCATCATGAGGTTGAGAGCAGAGCAGAATATATTACCAAGAGATGGAGGATGCAAAGAGATTTTTCAGTTGAGATAGCTAGGACTTGGTAGTGTATGGCCAATTGCACTGATGACTGTAGACCTAGCAGGAAAAGAGAAAGCTCAGAGGCTACTGACACAAACAGACGATGCCCTAGGACAATATGCACTTTTCATTCTTGACATTTTTTTTTCCCACTGCCCTCATTCTTGACATTTTGATGTCTTGATGCCAAAGTATGTGGCAGACCTTGAATTGGCAAATGCAGAATTGACTGTTCATTCTAAATTGACCTAGATCTATTTTCCCACTGCCCAGTGGAAAAAAGGTTGAAGATAAAAATTAGGTTATTTATAGAAAAATCTTAGTAGCCAATATTTCTTGAAAATTTTGATTCAGCCTCTGAAATGTATTCCTACTACACTACAATTCACTGAGCACTTCCAGAGGCAGGCACTGTGCTAAGTGTTTTATAAGTATCATTTAATTTTAAAACATCATCTAGTTTAGTCATTATAACAATCCTGAATGTAGGTTTTTCTTATTATCAGAATGTTTCGAGTGAGGAAACTGAGGTTTAGAAATATTGAGTAAGTTTTCAAAAATTGTGTAACTATTAAGTGACAGGTTTAGGATTTCAACCTAGGTCTACCTGACTCTAAATCTCATTTTTAAAACAAAATAAGTTTTTGGAAGAATGATCCAGAGCACAGTGTATTTGCAAAGGTTGGAATAAATTTGTTCAATTGATTGAGTAGATATGTTTGAGTAGATATCTAATAATATACCACCAAATATGACTCTGAACTTTTAAAGCTATATTTGCACAAAATAGCATAGCAAAGGGGGAAATATTTAAAATTACCTCTGTCATGTAAAAATATATTCACTTTTCTTAGATTAGAAATAATAAAAATTGAAATTAAATGGAAAAGAAATATGTTTCTCTTGCTTTACATAGAAAGTAGCTGGAATTATTTAGTAAATTTGTTTTTTCTAGAAGAAAAAAATATTATATGACAAGGATTGTTCCTTGGTGCTGGAGTTAAAGTGGAGTCAAACAGGGAGAGTTTCTTCTGTATAATAGCATACATTCTACTGGGGAAGACAAAGAGTAAAGAAATAAACCATGCATATATAATATGTCAGGTTGTGATTAGAGCTATGAAAAGGAATAAATCAGATTAATGATACGGAGAGAGATGGTGGAGGGGAGTTTTACTAATTTATATAGGAGTTTCAATTGAAGACTCTCTGATAAGATGACATTTGAGCAGAACTCTGAAGGAAAAATGAAGGCTAGAACCATGCGGATATAGTAAGGAAGAACATTCAAGCAGAAGAAATAACCTAAGCAAAAGGTATGGGATTAGAGCATGCATGGTGTATTTGAAGAACAGAAATGAGGCTATTATGCCTGGAGTAGAGTGAGCTAGAGGAAAAGTGGCAGGAGAAAAAGTCAGAGACATTAAAATTAGACCAAATCACAGGGTCATCTAAGCCATGGTAAGGGCTTCAGATTGTATTTATTATAATACGATAAGAAACATAAAAAAGTTTTGAGCCAAAAAATAACAAAAATGGGTCACTTTGGTTGTTGGACTGGAAATAGCCCGTAGGGTGTGCTATGGTCTCCATGTTTATGTTCCCTCCTGCCCCCGCAAAATTCACATGTTAAAATCTCAGCCCCCAAGGAGATGGTATTAGGGAGTATTATAAGGTGATTGGTCATGAAAGCAGATATCTCATAAATGGAATTAATGCCCTTGGAAATGAGACTCCAAAGACCTCATTTGCCCCTTCCACCATGTGAGGTAACAGTGTAAAAATGGCAGCTTTGTGGAAGGGGGCCCTTATCAGATACGGAATATGCTAGTGCCTTAATCTTGAACTTACCAGCCTCCAGAAATTGTGAGAAATAAATGTCTGTTGTTTATAAGCCATTCAGTCTATGATATTCTATTATAACAGTATGAATGGACTTAGCCATGGTTAAAGCAGGGTGACCACTTGAAAACAATGTCAGTAATCAAA